CAAAATTGTGTCTTGTGTTATAGTGTTTCTTTTTGTAAGATCGGATAATGTGTTTCGTGTTATACTCAATTATATTTGTCTATATTTTCAGGGCCGGGGCTACCTATAAGACGAACTAGGCGGACGCCTAGGGCGCTGTCTTTAGGGGGCGCCAAAATGGGTTGGAAAAACAAATTGAACGTTTGAGGAGGGTGCAAATCAAAAATTTGTACCCGGGCGCCGGGAAGGGTCACTACGCCTCTGATAATACGGGGCACAAAAAATTGCGGGGGGGGGGGGGCGATTTTAATAAGTTTTGCCTAGGGCGCTAAATAACCTGGCGCCGGCACTGTCTATAATTAAAAAATATTTTAATTATTTTGTAAAATTATAAATATGTTATATATATCAATGCTTTTGTAGAATTACATATAGTTGAGCAAAAAATAGGAATACAAGTAACGAAATATAATACTGAAAATTAAAATGTTTCATCCTATTTTAGATTGACACAAACTTCTAGCATCTATTTATTATTGAAGATGAAAGTACTTTCGGTACAAAACTTGTTTTAATATCTAAAGCTAACTATATTTCTGGTACACAACTCAAGAAATTTAGAAAGCGGTCTATATTAATGAATGTGTTGCGTTATAAAAGTACTTTGTTCTTAACAGCATAATTGCTGTTTTTAAAATAATATTCTGAAAACATCGGAGACACTTGGAGTGTGTATCAAAACTATATCTACAAATTTATTTCAATCCTTACATATGCAACCAACGAGAAAAGTTAAACGCAAGCCTCTTAATATCAGTTATGATCGTTAGAAGTCATAGCAGTATTGTATCATAAGTACAATAATAGCATACTTTCTTTTAAAATTTGAACATTTGTCGTCATTTGCGTTTGTATAAGTTTTATAAAAGAATGTGGGGCTGAAGCTTTATTTTCATAAATTATTTGCAAATACATTTTCTTAAATCATATTAAAGGTATATCTATCTCCATAATACTATGAAATTGCATTTTATGTGGCGTCAAAATTGTAACGTTTGTTTTTAAAATTACAATCAAATCAAAACTTACATGAAATAAGCTGGTCAGGTTAAAACGCGAGGTCTTCAATGAATGTTATTCTACGTATAAAACCTTTTCAAAGTCGGCAAAGTTTTTATAACAAATTTATGTCCTCTAAGGGTACCCTTGAAATAGATAAGAATGGTAGGGTATTTTTGAACCCTTGAAACTTTGAAACTTATCGTTTCATTTTCAAACGTGTCCAGCTGGTTGGTTGCTTGCTTATCTCTTAAATTGGAATCATTTCTTCACTTAAATGCAAATCTGTTTTATAAGAACTAGATGTCCATACACGAATTCAAAAGAAGAAAAATGATTTTTTTATCCATCAAATCTGTTGGTCCAGTAGAAAATAATTTACGTTTGTGCAGCGAGAAAATAAATATGTATTTTCAATGTCTAAATCTATTAATTTTTTTTAGTAAAAAACAATATCAATATTTATATTACTTAAACTGAAAAAAATTGTATTTCTAATAAAACAAAGATAATAATCTGTGCTATTTGCGCGGAAAATAATATTTTACAAAACAAAAAAAACTATTTATAATACTACGGTTTAAATGCACTGACATTTATATATATATATATATATATATATATATATATATATATATATATATATATATATATATATATATTAAAATCTTTAGCGCAATATGACAAATTTATGCGGCAAACATCTCCTACTATTATTATATAGGCTTGTAAACAATATTAAAAAAAACCATATGACAGTCAATAAAAAATTGTTCAAATCAACTAAAATCATGGAATATATTATTAAAATTTTGGTGTGAGATATTTTGTCTGAGAGCATTTATCTATGATATAATTTGTCCTGATATATTTTGTCCTTGTATCTTTTGTCCGTGAGATTATTTGTCCATGAGATCATTTGTCCTGCGATCATTTGTCCTAAAATCATTTGTCCGTGAGATATTTTATCTGAGATATTTGGTCTGAGATCATTTGTCCTGAGATCATTTGTAGTGGAACCATATATATATATATATATATATATATATATATATATATATATATATATATATATACATATATACATATATATATATATATATATATATATATATATATATATATATATATATATATACTAAATTCATTTTAATTGTACATAATTGTATTCATCTTTGTCATTGTATTTCTCAACTCAATCTTAATACATCTATGGCATTGTGCCCTATACATCATAGACATTATTTACCTCAACCTGTGTAACGTTACGTCCATGCTATCCCTACTGAGGCTGTGTTACAAAATTTAGTTTAATTTTATTGATTTAAATTTACAATGCACTTAAAAGATTATTTGTTTACTTGTTTTTTTTTTGTATTTCTTCTTTTAACAAGCTTTTATTTAACTCACTGTCTCTGTCGTTATGTCTGTCGTCAATCTAGTTCGAAATGTCCGAGCAAAATTACTCTACTTCTAACTCACAGATACAGTTCGTAGTTGGTACATTGGTCAAGAGATGAAGAAAATGCAACATGACATTAAATTTGACTTAATTGGTTGCCTAAATATTCTTTTGTGTGACAAAATTAAAATGTTGACGAAATTAGAAGGCCGTCTTACGCAACTATTCCGCAATATTGTACACGCGTCATCACGTTCATTAGGTGCGCAATGGTTTTTAATCACGCAACTCTATTATAAATTTTAAAAATTTAAAGTAGGCCTGCTGAAAAATAATTTCCAAAAAAAAAGTTTTAATAACAAGCTTTTATGTAATAATGCACTAAAAAGTAGAAAATAAATTATACACTACTATTTAAATAACTATAAAGATAAGCAATAGCTCTACAATCACACCGGGCGTTTCATCGTGAACATTTCTACTTGCCGTCAGTCATTGAGTAACAGGACATTCATTTAAAAAAAATACCTGCATCTCCTGATCTAAGAAATACATTCTGAACATGCAAAAAAAGATAGCCAGTTTTATGCACTCTGCTTGCCATGTATCTGTTACATTGTCTTGGTTATTTGGTGCGACATATGTGTCCTTTTATAATCTTCCCCCTATTCTCGCCCATTCTTAAACACAGCCAATGATGTCTACCCATTTTTTTATTTTCTCGTATATATGAAGTATAGAAAAAGTCTTGTAATCGTGCAATAAAAAAAATCAAGATTTTTGCAAAACTCGACGTTTTACACCACCCTGAGTCGGAAAAACATAATTTTGTCCGCATGTGTGTGTGTGTGTGTGTGTGTGTGTGTGTAAACACGATAACTTGAGTACCCGTTACAGCTAGGTTGATGAAATCTTATATATAAGTATTTTATCAAAATCGTAGATCCGTGTTAACTTTTGAGCGATTTCCGATAACCGGAAGTGGTACTTTTTCTACTTTGAATTTTTCAAAAGCCAATAACTTGAGTACTATTTCAGATAGATAAATGAAATTTCACATGTAAGTAAAGATCTAATTCCGTTCACCCGAAGTAGTAATTTACTCTATTTGCGATTTCTCAAAAAACTAATGTAAATTTATAAAGTACTAATAAGATTGCGCGCTATTATGCACATTTTATTTGACGTTCACTTGGTGTGCGATTCTTTTTTTCTACGAGATTTTAATCTATTTTAAAAACTTAAAGTATTTAAAATGAATTAGAAATCATGTCTACAGCCCGAGTTCCCATCCCCTGTTGTTTTATATAAAAATATTCGAGAAAGTTTAGGGGAGATCACTCCCGGTTTATTTTTCTTCTTCCTGCCTTTTTTCCGTTTTGCCCATTTTTTAAAGATGTTTTTAGGATTATCAAAATGTGCAGCTTTTTTTTACAACATTGATTAAAATAAATAACAATACGTGTATGAATCAAGAGGGGAAGTACTTGAAATTTGTTTCATCAAAACAGTTTAAGGATAGCAGTAACAAACTATTAAAAACACATGCACGGACATATATGCCCATTTAAAAATTTTCACTTTTCTTGATTTATTTATATTCTTCTTTGACAGAGCATGCAGGTTTTAATGATAATTAAAAATTCAATAATATCCCTAACTTTTATTATTTCAATACAAATAAATTTGAACCTTATCATCTAATTAGTTCCATGATGCATGTTTGATTTTGATTGATGAATGATCAGCAACACATTAAAAGGTCATAGCTTAGCTAGTAGTATAATTTTCTCCAAACTCCTGGAAGCACAATAAGTTAGTGTAATTAGCTACGTTTTTGTTTATAAAAACATACACATAATACATGTGCAATATCAAACATAATATAACCTATGCTTCTTATTTCATTATTGTATCTATCTTATCATTTTAAGGTTGTATTTTTATAATTTGAAATATTATTTACATACAAGCGATTTCTCAACAATGCTAGTATCCACTCATTAGCCAACCCCTTGTGAATTTTATAGACAAATGCATTTTATCTACAGTCTTAAGTGTTGTCCACTGTTTCTACCAGACTTTTTTCTCCCGGGGTGGCACTTGAATTTTTTTTTGGGGGGGGGGGGGGGGGGGGGGCGGACTAAAATTTCCGGGGGGGTGGTGGACGGACGCTGTTAAAAGTATATATTTTCTACATAAATTATATTTCGTTTGGGGGTAAGGGAGGCGGTAGACTTTCTTCGGGGGGCAGGGGGGGGGGGGCATAGCTCCCCGAAGAGATGCTGGTAGAAATTATGGTGTTGTCTAATCTCGAATCTGTGTAAAATTTTGTAAGATGAGAAGTAATAGTTAAATCTTTGGTATCGATTGTTCACATAAGCAGCCTGTGTATAAGCTTACATGTTATCAAATACTTGTATCACACTTTTTAAAATATAATATACATCAACATATTAGTATTTCACCTATTAATGCACATTTCTTAATTTAAAATATGAGTTAGAGAAGATAATTAGATTTAAAACCACATGTTCTTTTAAGACAATTTTAATATTTGCTATATCAATACACTGCCATCACCATAGCTGTTAGTGTTGAACACAAAAATAACAGATTTTAAATAGTTGTTTGCTTTTTAGCTGCTCTTGTTTAAATTATTTTAAGGCGATATTATCCATCTAGAAATTTTTGTCTAAATAAAACTTCATTGTGTTTTCAATTAATTTTACATTTTTAAATACGGTGATTTTTGTTTCATTGAGGACGATCTTTTTCAATACAAGTAGTGCGCAAATAATAAATAAACACGGTTGATGGGAAATAAGTTTTAAAGTTTTATTAAAGGCACGGTAATATTTTAAAGCAAATTATACATACAAGTTTACATATCAATGTGAGTGAACAAAAGCTATAGTTATGTTTAGTAAAATATGGAGTAAATAACTTACACTTTTTATTTTTATTTTAACACATTTTATAAGTATTTACTATACAATTTAAAACCGTAGATATCAATGTTGCAGAATATTTAGACCTTAACTGAAAGTACAATTAAACATTTGCAATACTATATTTGAAAAAAAAATGATTTTTGGAAAAAAATGAAACAATTAAAAATATAAAATTGGAGAAATAAAAAAAGCAACAATTATTTATATAAACGATAAAAAACATCACTGAGTGTAACAAAAGTTTTTCATGTAGAATACATATTTCTTATGATGCTGATATCATAGAAATATGTTTATCCCATCTATAGACATAGCACTTTACAATGGTTAGTTAACTTTTTATTATAATTTGTTTAGTATTTTAAAAGAAATGTATCTATTGTCTTCAAAATGCAAATAGTTTTATACAGACATAACCACCTCTATGTCAAATCGAATACAAAAATAAATACAACTAAAACTATATATGTTTAAATAAATAAAGTTATATATATATATATATATATATATATATATATATATATATATATATATATATATATATATAATCTCAGTACAAAATATCTCAGTCAAAATATTTCAGAGAGATATCTCACGGACAAATGATCTCACGGAAAAATGATACTATGGACGATTGATCTCAGACAAAATATCTCTATCTTAAAAAAAATTATACCAATTAATATTAGTCTACAAAGACAATCTTCATTAAACTTTAAAATTTTATGTTAAATTATTCTAAAAGTAGTTTTGTACAGAATTAAAGTTGTTTTACATGCATTATTTTATTTCCATTTGTCACAAAGAGAAAATTGTATTACATTTATAATAAATGAAATAATTAAACAAATGAAAACCAGCAACTTGTTATATTTCACTATCCGATCAAAGCAACGTTCGCGTTTTGACCTTCCTGGTTCAAATAATGGTCGTCTAACATCCTCAGAAGATTGACTATTGTTATCAGCATCTAAACCTTTTAGCGCATTGCGTTGGGTACTTGCATTTTCAAAATCTCGATCATTGTATTCTTGATTTATTTTTATAACTTCAGTCATTAGTTTATCTACTTGCACTTTCTGTATGTTTTTATCGCATGTTTTATTGTCGAACAGGACGTACCTGTTGTTACATTCACTAAGGAGTTTTCTAATGTCTCCTTTTTGCTCCTTACACCATGTATCAAAGCTAGTACATCTTGTAGGAGGTGGAAACATATCCCCATACGTCATAACAATTATTCCACATTTCTCAAAAACATTCTGACCAAAAATAGACTTTACAACACGGACACTTTCACTTTCTTGATGGGTATATCTAACATATAATGGGATAACTAATAGCAAAGCTGAAAAACAGTTATTTAAGTTTTCATTAAAAACTTTCTCTATATTATAAATTAATCGTTTCATATCTCCCTTTAAGTCCTTAACACTATCTCCAATGCCATAGCCGTCGACCAATGTAACATCGTATTGATTTGCTTTGCCTGACTTCACGACAATTTCTTCTGAATTTAAAGAAAATGGTTTGCTGGATAAAATTGAATTTCCTGTTGAGCTTTTTCCATTTGAAGTTCTCCCAACGAGAAACAGTTTATAATTCCTCGTCATTTTTCAGCTTAAAAGAAAATCATTTTTCAAGATAATTATACGGGATTATAAAAAAATAGAATATAAATTAATACCAGAAAACCATTAAAATGTATGTATCTGGAAATTGGATTTATGATAAAATTAATAACTACAAAACAGAAAACTGAACCGCACCTGAAATTTAACTACAATTTTGACTATTTATGTAAAACAAAAATGGTACATTACATATTTTTTTTGTATAGATTTTATTATTAATAAAATGTTATAATAATTTATTTTTATTTTAACAACATAACTAAACAAAAATATATGATATTTTTTTTCATATTTAGAGCGTGGACATAGACAAGTAGAAATGCAAATGTTTATAAACACCGTCATATCATATTAATAGTTATAACAAAAACAAATATAACATATTATAATGTACATATAACATGTTTTAATAACTCACGATAAATCTTTAAAGATTATTGTTGAAGAAAATAATAAATCTTTTCTTAAAATTGCATTTGTTAAAAAGCACTTTAGTAAAATAAAAATGCAAATATAACCAACGTTCAAATTTTGTTTAGCACTAGCGGTATTTTAAAGCACGAATGCCATTGATCAAACTATAAAACTTAGCCCTGCATTGAACCCCGCTTGACGCATGCGCTGTGTACATAGTTATTATTGCCAAGACTGTTGAATTTTGGGCGGATTGTGAAACTCGTGTCATGTCACCCTTATCAAGGATTTGTCTTTGCATGTGTTTGAACATGCAACTTAGTTCGGTTATTACAGTTATAAAATAAATTGCTTTCTGATGGAAAGGAGTTATGCTTTATTATGCATAGTTTTCTGTTAACTTAGAATAAGGAAAATATAGTTACTATTTGTTAAGTTATATAAAATGAATCACAAAATATTTTATCTCACCCAACAATATCCTATCTCATTTCAAATACGTTTCAGACCAGAAGAAGAGTTTATATTAATATTTCTGTTGCCTCAGGAGTATGAAATCAAAAGTTCTATACTCAGCCATCTTTGCTTTGCCTAATATAATATACGAGCTTACCCGAGACGTAGCAAATGCCGCTATTTAGTCTAATTCATTTTTTTCAGTATTTCATATTTTGTGAATTCGACACTATTAATGCTGCGACTGAATATATTTTGCTTTAAAACACTATCAATAGCTAGTAAAGGTCGATTATCCTCACCCTCATATTCCAATCCTCTCCCTCCTCCCCCCCCCCCACCACCCAGCCTCGGCGAGAGCAGCCGTCTGTGACGACAGTTTATAGGCGACAATGTAAAGAGCAAGCAGAACATGTTATTATCTCCCCTTAGTTTCAAATCGTTTAAAAACTAAATTATCTGCTTCTAATAGCCGTCACTACGATTGTAAGCATCTCACCAGACTTATGGGGGTGTGGATGGTAGTGATAAGATCTGCTGAGCTTACGTTTTGGTGTCTCGCATGGTCCGAATGAAGAAAATTATATAGAGAGACTAGGGTAAAACTCCATTTTAGCGTATTTTATTCTCCGCTGCTTGTTTACCCCCAGTTGAGCGTATTTTATTATAATAACCGAAACACACCAAAACATTAGGAGAACACGATTTATTTATTTGTACTGTATTTTTGTCTCAACAAATGAATTTTAAAAAAAACGACTGACTTTGTTTTTTTTTTAGATTTTAATAATGTTCTTTTGTCAAAAATAGAGAAAATCCAAATTTAGAATATTGAATGTGCTATGTTCGTGTGTCAGTTAGAATTCTCATGGCAATGGGTGAAGTACGTAAACGTAACTCACAATTGCTAGGCGGTTAAGTTTGTATTGTTACAGGTATTTCCCAAGCAAGATACTATAAATAAACACTTATGAACTTACAATGACCCCCAAACTGAGGCCAACACAATTTCAAACAGCCATTGCCCGAGCTATGACGTATGCTGATAATTAAAGTCAAGGTGAACTCACGGTGAACCCGCGACCGTGTAAGGATTTTTCTCCCGCCGACGATCACTTGATATTTCATGCCCAGCTCTGGCCTCTGTGAAAAACAAGTGTGTGCAGTAATCAGCATATACCCGGCATTGCCCACCCTAACCACAAACAACCAAAATCAAAACACAAACATAACACAAACGCAAACCCAACCACAAACACAAACACAATAGCAAATACAAACGCAAGAAAAAAGAAAACGAAAAATAAACAAATCCAAACGCCGGTACCGCCTGTTTTAGCTTAGTAAACGACTAGACTACCCCAATTTATTCATAGTGTTTTGCATGTTTTGCACTCATTTAAACGTACTTAAGCGTCATGGCGAACACGGGAAGGCCCGGGGTACCAAATAGCACCTTACCGAGGGGCCGGACGACGCCCGGATTTTATTAGCTTAAAGATTATAGTAACCTTTCTTATTTAGACTATGAGCACTTTAGACTTATAACACTATTGCAATTATAATAAAATAAATTATCACGTTTCCTTTCTTTGAAAACCTCAGTCTTCTATTACAAACAAACAAACAGAATTGAAAGTCTCGAGTTCGAATCCGGGTTCAAGTCAGTAGACCGTCCCTGATTCCACCCAACTCTGATGGGTACCTATCTCACGTTAGGGAAACTAAAGGCGGCTGGGCATAGTGTTGAGAGGTCACAGAAACAAGTGAACTCTACTTCACTTGCCCCATAGAGAGTCAGGTTTAAAAGCGAAACTTTACTTTACATCAACATCAAATTCTTAACATGATTTCGAACACACAAAAAAAAATGAAAAGAAGAGAACGGTTAAAAAAAACAACAACACAGAATTGAACTTAATAAATTAGATTTAGACTCCTGAGCTGAGTGAGCTAGGTGTTTTTTTATATACATTTTTGTTTTATTTTCCACTTTTTGTCGTTCATTCTAGGCTACGACTTAAAATACTTAACCGTTAACTTGAAAAATAGTTTTTAAAAAAACTCTGCCCCTAATAGCCTTTACTAACTTGACTCGGCTCTACGACTGTAAACATAAGGCGGTAACCAAGCTCGGCAGACTGATCGGGTGATCGCGTCTAGCTATTTATCTCCATTTCAGTTCGTATATATATTTTTCTTTCGAGTCATCGCTAGCATTTAATGTTGTTATCATGCAAATGTTTTGAAACGTTATATTAATTTTAATTACTAATCTAATGTATAAGTAGATTACAAAATAGACATTCATGCAGAAAAGTGTATCTGGCAACATTCAACGAAATCGGCGCATTTGAAGTGGGTCAAAACATTATCCACAAATCCACAAACAAACAAAAAAAAAAACGGACGTTGCAAACCATACTAAATAAAATATTGTAAAACAATACAATTTTTGACAAATTGTCCATCACTGATTTTTATAAAATATGCTGCTGTCACCCAAGCAAGCAGGGAAATGGGATTACATAATCTTTACCTTGTTAAGCTTATAAATAGATCTTGAATTGAACATAACTTACTTTTCTAAATATTTGTCAGAATAATTATTTCAACACATGTCATACAAAATATCCTTTTGAATTCAAATAATAATCTTAAAATATATTTTTCAATTAGTTTGTTGCTACAGTGTCAGCACCTATGCTGCACATGGGTCGGCGTTAACAGGTCGGTAAAGCTCATGGTTGCTAAACCGAAAAGTCCTAAGTTCCAACCACTTTACTGTTCAACTCTATTATACATATGATGATTGATTTCAATTGATTGGTGCGCGATTGGTTTGTTTTTTTTACTGGGTTTCATTTTATTTTGATTATGTTCGTATCAAATTAAAATTTAAAAAAACCTTTCTAAAGCCGAGTCGAAATGGAAGTGCGCCCCAATATTAATTATATGAATACGCGAGAAAGTATAGGGCTATCACTTCCGCTTTATTGTTACTGAAATCAAAGCCAAAAAGTTTTTATCAAATTCCAACGGGTCAGTCACCACGTTTTCTTAGGGCTGCTGCCTTGACCTATTGACTTTCTGTTTTAATCATTGAAAGATAAGAATATTGTTTAAAGATTTAAGATTTATAGGGCTTGACAAAGTCTTATCACCCATTTTATCTTGAAACTGGCGCAGCTCGGCGTACCATGATCCTATATCACTTAGTGCCAAGAAATTTAATTATTTGCTATAAGTTAGCAATTTTGTGACGTATACTGAAAGATACGCTTCTTATTGCTCAAGGCCAAACGGTGGTATGACTTATTCGTTTCTTTACTGTGGCAAACATGTTAATCTTTCGCCGTTTACGTAGTGGAAAAAGAAGTTATTTTGCGTTTAACGTACTTGGTCTCATATTCTTAGTTCTATTTGCGATGACTAATTTATCGTTATTGTTACTAAAAAAAACAAATATAAGTGTTAGAGAACAACGTCAAAATAATAATAATTACATTTCTAATATTAAGCATTTAGCCATTTAATTAAAATAGGCATAACTTTAAACGGCAATACAATTAACACAAATTATGACATTCATTTGTACAGTATTAATATATTTCTTTCTTTACATTTTAATTACTTAATATGTTATTTAATTAATTAATTAATTACGTTTATTTATATACGTTTTTATATATCAATTTATTTAATTTATTCACTTTTGTTTGTTTTATTAATTGATTGATTGATAGGCTTATAGTATGAAATATATGCCTGCAGCCTCTTTAGGCACTAGCTGCTTAACATTTTATTAAATGAAAAATCCCAATAGTTTAATTCTAAATTACAATATTTTGAACCATTACGCCCTAAATGACAATGAATTAGAACATTAAAAAATTAAATCTACCTGTTTTCAGGTCAAGGTTGTTTTGTATTTATGTAATGTAAACTATATATTTTGTCCTAGCAACAAATAGAGTGACGTTCTCTTATTAAACTTCGTCTTTTTACTTCTTATTGAAAAGTCTCGAGGTAATAAAAGTAAATACAAACGTGAGATAGTAACTTAACAACTAGATAAACACGATTTTAAAACTTGAACTTTAGCTGCT